CCTGCCACTCTGCTCCCGACCCTTTGAGACGATGCTCCACCTTCCCTCCCGGATTCTAGGCTGGAGTCCGCACAGAACCACCTGGAGCTCTGCTGGGGTGTCCTCCCCAGAGCGTTTCACCCTCCCACACCTACCTGGGCTTTGCACCCATTGCCCCCTCTTCCCCTGTCCCTGGCCCAGCTGTAAGGTTCTGCGGCAGAGTCTCCTCCTCCAGGAAGCCCCCCTCCTCTACAGCCCAGACTCCCCCCTCCTCCCCTGGGCCCCATGGCTGCCGGGGCCCTGAGAGCACCCTGCTCTCCTTACCTGTCTGCTCCAGGGAGGGCCTGTGTCTGCCCTCTCCCCGCTCCTCAGCGCCCAGCGCGGTGCCGGACACCTAGCAGGCGCTCCTCCCTTCCTTGTCGAGCGCAGGCATTGACCATGTCCCAGGTGCTGCAGTCTGGAGACCCGTGTCTGGCCCCAGTGGGTCTTGAACTTGCTGAGCTCAGCCAGCCCCTTCATCTGCAAGTGGGGGTTGTGCCTCTCATCTCTGCCTAACTCTCTGGGCTCTTGAAAGACGCAGGTGTGAAATGGATATCTTCTCTTTTAAAGGTAGCCCATTTGTTCTGTCTGTGGTCTCATTTTTCCTCCCAGCCCCCAGTGCAGCGCCCCCACCTTCTACCCTGGACCTCGGGGCAGTATTAAAGGTCCAGCCCCTCACCTGAGCCTGGAGGCCCCTTCAGTACTCTGCTGCCCCTGCCCCTCCACTCCAGCCACCCTCTCTACTCTGCCCATCCAGACCCCAGGGCTCTCTACCCCTGCCCAGACTGTGTTCCCTGCCACAGATGAGCTCCTCTCTCCCCTTCGCTCGAACATCACCACCTCCAGAAAGCCTTCCTCTTTCATCACGCTGGCCTCCGGCCTCCCCTGTCTGCTTCCATGAGGCTCCTCCCCTCCTAGGCTGATAGAAAAAACTGCCAACCTGTCTCCCCTGGGTCACCTGTAGGCAGTTAGGAGCCTCTTGCAGGTGGAGAGGCTTCCCCAGGAACTGCAGCTGCTCAACTCCTCCCTGGGCCTGCAGGGGGCACCCTTTCAGCTGACTGTGTCTGTCTCTCCCTCCATCCCACAGAGGAGTGTGAGCCCGGCCCCTGGGGCAGCTGGAGCCCCTGCAGGCACAACGGGAAGACCTGCAGCTCGCCCTGGGGCCTGGAGACCCGGGTCCGGGTCCTCGAAGCCCGCCGGGCCGGGCAGGAGGAGATAGCAGCCTGCCAGGTGCTGGCCGAGTCGAGGAAATGCCCCATCCAGAGGCACTGCCCAGGAGGTGAGCACCAGGGTGGTGGGCTCTCAAAGCAGCATGGGCAGGACCCTGCTCCACAAACCGTCCCGGGGAAGCTGCCTGAAAGCCCAACCCAGCCACAGATACAGCTGGGCTCAGCCTTGATCTCTCCAGCATCCTTCAAAGGGGTCATCATCCTGGCTGCCGTCTGCCTATCCCTGATACGTTGGGCACATGGAGGGTTTCCTCTCTGGGCCCTTCCAGATTGGCTGCCCTCCCTAGGGATCTTTGACGACAGAGCGTGTAACACACCAGGCTGCTAGCTGCAGTGTCTGCAGTTTGAAACCACCAGCCATTTTCCGGGGGAGAATGATGAAGCTGTGTGTTAGTCCGAGTAGACTAGAGAAACAAATTCATAGACATGCATATGTGTATAACAAAGAGCTTTATATACAAGAGCAATTGTATATTGAGAAAACATCCTCACCTAGTCCAGATCAAGACCATAAGTCCATATTAGCCCATATGTCCGATATCAATCTATAAATTCCTCTTCAGACTCACGCAACACATGCAATGACACCGAACGCAGGAAGATCACAGGCCAGTGGGTAGAAAGTGTTGTGGCTCCAGTGGCAGTGGAAGCATCTCAATGCTGGCAAGGGTCTCCACGTAGCTCCTGCAGCTCCAGGGCTCTAGCTTAGCTCCATGGGTCTTGCCAGAGGAAGACAAAGCAGAGAGTCTGTGTATCTGGCCTCCAGTGAGCTATTTATCTCCGTGGCACCTCCAAATGAGGTCATCAAGCTGCGAGCCGATTGACAGGCTAGACTCCACCCCTTCACAAGTTGACAGGAGATGATGGAACTACCACAAGCTGTCTACTCTCCTAAAGGGTTACAACCTCAGAAACCCACAGGGGCGGTTCCACATGCCCCATAGCGTCACTCTGAGTCAGCATGGACCCGATGGCAGTGAGTTTGAATTTGAGGATGATGGCTGAAGCTGCTTCGCTTGAGAGAGACATGGGATGTTAGCTGTATTGATGCTTTTGCAGACCTTAAATAGCCCTTAGGAGCTCTGGTGGTTAGTGGTAAGTATTGGGCGGTGATCTGCATGTTTGGCAGTTCGAAACCACCAGCAACTCCGATGAAGAAAGCCTGGCTTTCTACTCCTGTAAACAGTTACAGTCTTGGAAACCCCACGGGTCGCTCTGAGTGAGCCCGGCCATGATGGCAGAGCGTTGGGTATATATATAGCTCTTGGGCCGGCCGCTCCCTCCCCTACTCTACAGCATGCAACAGTTCAAGCTGTTTCTTACTACATCACTCCAGGTGCCTCGCGTGTGTTATGACAAGAGGTGCTTGTGCTGGACATTTCGTTTTCTCCCAGTTGAGCGGACTGCGTTGTCAATCCGCGGCCCACGCCGCCTTCATCCGCCGGGTTAATAACACACTCTGTGTGCTCCCTCGTGATGTCCCCCACTGTGACGGCAGCTGGGTCAGTCTCTGTTTGTGAGGGATGCCTTTGTTCCCTTCCAGACACACATGGGACCGTGTTCTGGGCTCCGGTCATTGAGAGCCGGTCCCTTAGACCCAGGAGTAGTCCACGGGATAGTAGAGAATCAGGTGGTAGAGGGGACAATTCTTTGTGGGCGCTGTCCCCTGGGGAACCCCCAGGTCTAGGTCTACTGAATGCCACAAGGACCCTCATTCACTGTGACCTCCAACATGACACCTCAGCTCTCCAAAACACCCCCAGGGGCCATCCTGTCCCACTGGGTACCTCTGATGTCAAAGGAAAGACGCCATCCAGTGGTAGGTAAGAGGTGGGTGGTGAGTAGTCATACGTGGAACCCCACCCTCGACACTGCGCAGCCCTGGGCTCACCAGGCAGGAAGCGGGGGTCTCCACCTTCATCATCTCGTTTCACCTGCCCAGCTGCGCTAGGGGAGGGGGAGAGGGGGTGTATTATAGACCCTACTTCTCAGAGGGGGAGACAGAGGTCCAGAGGCTGGGACACTGCGGGAAGAAGAGTGGACCTGGAATTCCATGTGGGTCTGTGTGCACAGAGGACTCTAGCGTGTGGTCAAGGATGAGGGGCCTGGGGACAGGCCACTGGGGCACCCGGCTGGGCCATGGAAGAGTCAGGACATGACTCCGGGGACATGCCTGGTTTCAGGAGGACTTGGAGGATCAGGAGCAGAAAGGCAGGGAGCAGAAAAGTGGTGGGTGGTTGAGATGGGGACAAAGAAACCGAGACCCCAGACCCAGACATGTAGCCCTGGTACCCCTACACATAGACACAGCCCTCGCTGGGCCGTTCTCCCCAGCCCCAGGTACATGGGCCCACCTCTGAGGGCATCTAGGAGCTGGTCACTGGCCGGCTGTGGGCCCAGAGGGAGGAAAGGTGGAGGAGTTGCCCAGCAAGCACCCTCCTTGTCTAGAATGAAAATCTCTCTCCCGTGCCTGCTTCTCCCCCCCCCCTCCCCAAGCTCATTTCTTCTCACATATTTTCTCTTCTGTTCTTTATCTTACTTGGGTTCTGCCTTTCCCAACCCCCCAGTCCCCCGGGAGGCCAGGTCTCTCTGCTTACCTGGGTCCTTCTGTCCCCAAGCACTACAACAGTGCCTGCCACTGGGTCGTTCTTCAAAAGACCCCGAGAAGCCATCTAACTGGCCTGCGTCTGTCTGTGCCATAGACGGGGAGTCCCAGGGCGCTGGGGGTTAAGTGCTGGGCTGCTACTGGCCAGGTCAGTGCTTCAAACCGGCGGCCAGTCTGTGGGAGGAGGAGGGGGCTTCCTACCCCCCTAAAGAGTTCCGATCTCAGAAATCCACGGGAGCATCCCACCCTGTCCTATAGGGCGGCGATGAGTTGGAATCGATTTGATGGTAGTGAGGTTTTTTGGGAAGGTGATGAAGTTCATGGGCCCAAAAATCTGGTTCTGAGTGACAGCAGACAGGCCCCTTTTTGCTGTTCTCTGTACCTCAGTTTCCTCACCTGTAAAAAGGGACTAATCATCCCTGTGTTTTAACGTTGTGATGTCAGGTCAATGTCCTACAGAGGAGGCGACATCACTCACCATCCGGCTGGTTGTGCCCGCCCTGACTCAGTCCTGGAAGGCTGCCCCGACTTCCACCCTGGAGCTATGACCCATTGAACCAGGAGTGGCAGGGGGCCTCGGTCAGCAGTGGCTGGGCCTCCTTGCTGCCCACCCTGCTCGGTCGGCTGGTGCCTGTGGTATCTGCTGCCCTCTGGGGCAGACAGACAGAACACCTCCTACCCCAGGGTGGGAGACATAGACCAGGGCAACCCCTAGGAGCAACGATGTGGGGTGCCACGCCATCCAGGGGGCACTTCTCACCTTTCCGGGACCCCAGCTTTACGTTGTTCATACAACACACTTCCAGCAGATGGCAGTGAGTGTCTCCAGGGAAAGGGGCCAAGCCTCCTGAGGCCGGGAAGGTGTCTGAGGGTCTGTGGAGCCCGTAAGGTGGGGCACGTGGTAGGAGGCTCCACTAGGAACCAGCCCCGGTGTCGCTGTCATGGTCCTGTTTGCCAAGGGCTTTGGTGGGAGGGCGAGGGCTCAGTGATTTGGGGTTCCCCGTCCCTGGAGAAGGACATCACCCTTGGTACAGTAGCTGGCCCTCGACAAGATAGATGGCCACCCTGGCTGTAACCACGGCCCGACACATGGACCACTGTGAGGTGGTGTGGGACCACGCAGTGTTCTGCTCTGTTGCGCCGACAGCTCCAGGGGTCCTAACAATAACCTTGAGGGCCCAGTCACCGTGACCCTACTTCTCGACCTCAGTCTGGCTTGAGTTATTGAAGGCTCTGGGGGTCCAGTGCTGTTGATTAAGCCTTGACTTCAGCCAGCGTTAGCAGTGGAAACCCACCAGCCACTCTTTGTGGGGCGGTGGGGGGATGACCGCTTGCTCCAGGAAAAATGGACAGCCTCTGAAACCCTGCCCAGGGCCTCCAGGAGTGGGCATGGGCTTGGTGGCAGTGGATCTGCGTTGTGGTTTTATTGAGGGCCGAGAAGAGCCCTGGCAGCACTGGGGGGTGAGCACTGGGTGGCTCACCGAAAGGTTGGTGGTTTGAATCCCCCAAGCTGCTCCTAGGGAGGCAGGTGGGACCGCCTGCTACCTCTGTCCTCCATGCGCACGTTCAAAGTGCCAGTCCCCTTAGGATTTCTCGTGGAGGTAGGATTCCGTGTGGGAGGCTCCCCCTTGCTAGGACTCTCGCCACTCCTCCTGATCATCGGGCTTCAGGACACGCTGTCCATCCACTTTGCCCAAGAGTGCCACCTGGAAGGGAACACACAGGACTGGCCAGGAGTTCTAGCCCAGGCTGTGGCACCAAGCAAGTGTCCCCTCCTGGGCCTTGGGCACCTCGCGGGAGAAAGGGGCTCATCAGACAGCCGAGTTGGACTCTCAGTCCTGCCCGGCGGAAGACTGCCTCAAGGTTCAAACTCTGGTGGGGGCTTTCGCTCCTCGTGGTGGGGGCTGGAGTGAAGAGGCCATGTCGGGAGGGGGTCGCCAATTTGGACAGACATCAAGCTCGCCCTCCTTGCTGCTATTACTGTTGTTGTTGTTGAAGGACAGAGCCTTTGGGCAGGGAGGTGAGTGGGGAAGTGGGTGCCGAAACACAGGTCGGAGAGGCGGCGTCTTCAAAATTGAGGGATCATAGAAGCATCTTGAGGGCCCCTAGGCCACCTTCCAGACGTGGCCATGCAGTCAAGTGCACCAAGCCCGGCTGTGAGCACCCTCTGCCCCTGTGTGCCCAGTGCCAGCCCCTAAGAAGCCACCAGAGCAAGCAGGCCGCTTTGGGGAGACTTGTGCTGCGGCCCCAACTCTAAAGAGTAGGTTTAAGGTCAGCAGCCAAAGGCTATTCTGAGCCCCACGGGGGCGGG